TTTAATCCATTCACTACTGCACAGTCCTACAATCCAACCACCTCTTCAAGGCTTCATCTTTTAATTACCATAATAGGATTTCCCACCCTCTTAACAGTCACAGTGGGGGCTAAGTCTCCAATACATAAAACTTGGAGAACACAATTCAAGCTTCAATGAGTTTTAGAGGGACATAATTCAATCCACTATAGTATGGTACTGACATAAAAACAAATTGACCAGTAGAATGGAACAGAGAGATTTGAAATAAACCCATGCACTTATAGCCAACTGATTTTCAACAAAGGTGCCAAAAATATACACTGGGGAAAACATATCCTCTTCAACAAATGGTGCTGGGGAAACTGGATACCCACATTCAGAAGTCTGAAACTTGGCCTCTATCTCTTACTATACACAAATATTAACTCAAAATGGTTTAAAGACCTAAATTTAAGACCCAAAACTCTGAAACTACTAGAAGAAAACATAGGGGAAACACTACATGAAGTGGGAATGGGCAGCACTTTTTTGAGCAAGACTATACAGGCAACCAAAGAAAAAATATACATATGGGACCACACCAAACTAAAAAGTTTCTGCACAGTAAGTGACACTATCAACCAAGTGAAGAGACAACCTACAGAATTAGAGAAAGTGTTTGCCAACTACACAGACAAGGGGCTAATATCCAGAATATATAAGAAGCTTAAATGACTCAACAGCAAAAAATCAAATAACCCAATTAAAAAATGGGCAAAGGACCTGAATAGACATTTCTCAAAAGAAGACATAAAAATGGCCAAGGAGCACTTGAAAAAATGCTCAACACCATTAATCATCAGGGAAATGCAAATTAAAACCACAATGAGATATCATCTCACTCCAGTTAGAATGGCTATTATCAACAAGACAGAAAATAACAAATGCTGGTGAGGATGTGGAGAAAAGGAAACTCTCCTACATAGCTGGTGGGAGGGTAAATTGTACAGCCAATAAACAAATTGTTTATTGGAAAACAATATGGAGATTCCCCAGAGAACTAATAATAGATATACCCTATGATCCAACTATCTCACTACTTGGGTATATACCCAACAGAAACAAAATCAATATATCAAAAAGACACCTGCACTCATTGTAGCACTACTTGCAATAATCAAGAAATGGAATCAACTTAAATGTCCATCAATGGACAAGTGGATAAAAAAACTGTGGTTTATATACACAATGGAATACTACTCAGCTATTAAAAAAATGATATCCTATCATTTGCAGCAACATGGATAGAACTAGAAACCATCATGCTAAGTGAAGTAAGTCAGGCACAGAAAGACAGATACCACAAGACCTCACTCATATGTGCAATCTAAAAAAAAAGTGGTTCTCATAGAAGTAGAGAGTAGAATAATGGCTGCCAGAGGTGGGGTGGGGTGTGGTAGGGTGGGGCGGAAAAGTGGTGGACTAATGGGTACAAAAACTATGCTATCTACCTTAAGTGAACCATTGTGCAGTATATGCATGTATTGAAACATACCGTCTCCCACAAATATGTACAAATAAATGTTCAAAAAGAAAAACCAATGTGAAAAAAAATTGACTGTTTAAAGCAAAAACAGTAACACTGCATTGTGGGGGGTTTATAAGATATAAGGAAATAAAATATATGCTAATAATAGCACAAACAACAGAAGGAGAAACATGGGTATTCTAGTATAGTAGGGTTCTTACAGTTTATGAAAAGTGGCATAATATTGTTTGAAGATAGACTGTCCTAGGCTAAAGATGCATATTGCAAACCACAGAATGACCACAAAACAAACACGAATGAGGAATTGCTAATAAGTCAAGAGAAAATAAAAACGGAATATTAAAATACAGTTAAATCCAAAAGGAGGCAGTAAAAAAGGGGGAAAAGAACACATAACAGTTGGGACAAACAGAAACAGCAGCATCAAAAACATGACTGAGAGCCATATCAACAATTACATTCAATATAAGGGAAAAAATACACCAATTAAAAAGCAAAGACTATCAAACTGCATAAAAAACAAGACTCAACCACAGTGCTGTTTACAAGAAATACACTTGAAATATAAAGACACAAATGGGTTAAGAGTAAAAAGTGGAGAAAAGATATACCATGTAAACAGTAATCCTAAGAAATCTGGGGTGGCTTTGCTAATAGCAGGCAAAGTAAACCTCAGAACAGGGAAAATTATCAGGGATAAGACAGTAAGGATATGGAATACTTAAACACTATCAACCAACTTGACCTAGTAAGGACACTATAGTCAACTAGAGAATGTATATTCTCTTCAAATACACACAGAGCATGCACCAAGATAGATCATATTAGGCCATAATGTAAGTCTTAAATTTAAAAGGATTTAAATCATATAAAGTGCTCTTTGACTGCAACAGAATTAGAAATGATTAATGAAAAAAGACGTCTTATAAATTAAATAACACACTTCTAAATACTGTAACCCATGGGTCAAAGACAACATCTAAACACAAGTTAGATACTTTCAATCAGAATCATAATGAAAACACAACATATCAAACTTGTGGGTTGCAGCCGAAGCAACACCTAAGGGGAAATTTATGCCTTTCAATGCCTATGTTAGAAAAAAAGATTTATAAGAAATTACCTAAGTTACCACCTTAAGAAGCTAGAAAAAGCAAGTTAAACCCAAGGTAGAAGGAAGGAAACAACAAAGAGCAGAAATATTGATGGAGTATGGATATGTTGTCCCCTCCAAAACTCATGTGGAAATTTGATCTCCAATGTGGCAGTGTTGGAAACTGATTGAATCATGTGGGTGGATCCCTCATGAACGGATTAATGCTCTCCCTGGGGGAGGGAGGATTAACGAGTGAGTTCTCACTCTATTAGTTCCTGCAATAGCTCGTTGCTTAAAAAGACCCTGGCATCTTCTCTCTCTCTCTTGCTTCCTCTCGCCACGTGATCTGCTTGTACCCGCCGGCTGCCTGCCGCTTTTCTGCCCTGAGTAGAAGCAGCCTGAGGCCCATGCCAGATGCAGCTGTCCCAGAATCGTAAGCCAAATAAACTTCTTTCCTTTACAAATTACCCAGTCTCAGGTATTTCTGTTATAGCAACACAAAACGGACTAAAACAGAAAATTGGTACCGAGGAGTGGAGTGTTGCTATACAGATACCTGAAAATGTGGATGCTGCTTTGGAACTGGGTAATGGGCAAAGGTTGGAGGAGTTTGGAGGACTCAGAAGAAGAGAAAATGACGAGGGAAAGTTTGGAATGTCTTAGAGACTTATGTGGTGGCGAGCAGAATGCTGATAGAAATGTGGACAGTACTCAGATAGAAATGAGGGACTTATTGGGAATTGGACAAAAGATAACCCTTGCTACACCATAGCAAGGAGCCTGGCTGCATTGTGTCCATTCCCTTGGACTTCTGCCTCCTAATTGATTAAAGACAAGACAAAGAACACGACTTTTAACTCTATACTCATTAAACTAGTCCGCAATGAAGAAAACTTTTTAGGTCCCAGAGATAAACGCAGCAGAATTTGGACTGTAATGACTTATAGGTGAAAGACTTTCTAACCAATGCTGTTTCCCACCTCTCTGATTCACTGTAAAACGCACTGCAGAAACAGCTGGACACCCTAACTGCACAGCCCCAAAGAGCATCTTTATAAGGCGTCCACCTGAATAGAGCTGCTGAGAATCCTACAGAAACAATGGAATTAAAAATCACAAAGGCTGGGCCGGCCCGTGGCTCACTCGGGAGAGTGTGGTGCTGATAACACCAAGGCCACGGGTTTGGATCCCATATAGGGATGGCCGTTCCCGGCACACTTTGGGGCCCTGTGAATCTGATGAGACGTCCAGGAGAGCTGGACACCTCAGAGTGTTCACCTGCAGACAGGCCATGCTCTCAGCCACAGAACTGGAACAGGCTCTGGTGAACGGACAGGAACTTATCAAGATCCATTTATTTATTAAAATCCAAGCATATTAAGATCTGATTCTTGTATCAGGCACTGTTTTACTTATTTTTTTGACAGCAGGCTGGTAAGGGGACCCACACCCTTGACCATGGTGTTACAACACGGCACTCTAACCAACTGAGCTAACCAGCCAGCCCCTGAGATCTGGTTCTTAAACCAGCAAGTGCATTCCTCTAGTCCAGGAGATGAGCCAGTCCAAACGCATGCAGGCCTAGGTCCGCACGAGACATTCATGCAGCTCAGGCAGGTGGGCCTCCTCTCAGATCCAATTCCAGATCAGTAGGCTACTTCTGAGCACAGAATCAGAAAAAAGGGAACCAAATATCACGGAGGGATGTTTTAATCATGCTGTGGTAGCCAGATACCATGATCTTTCTCCACAATGAAGAGGTAGGCATTCATTCAAATCATTTTTTGAGTGAGTGGGACTGTTCTAAGTACAGAACCGTAATAATGAACAAGGTCAGACTGCCCACCCTGACAGAGCTTACAAGAACATCCAAAACCAGGAGCCCCTTCCCTGACAGGAATGCTCTCCTTGGGTAAGCAGAAACTAGTTAACAACTAACTAGTAGCCAATTTAATGCTACTTCTCCGTTATCCCCAGTTATAACTTGTTTTCATTCTAAAATGATTATTTTCCTTCCACGATTTATGCCTCTCCCGAACACCCTGTTTTCTTGTTCTACCATCTGGTCCCTCTCTTGGGCCTATGTGGGGTCCTCTCACTCAAGTGGGGAGGTAGTACTTTCCCGAGTGGCTGTCACAGGCCCAAGATGACACTAGGAGTTCTTACAGGGGGTATTTCACATCTTCGCACTGCCTGGGGAGCAGGTATCACTTCCCTGTCTCACAGGTGAAGAGACGGAAGTGTGAAGCAACTCAGTAAGGAAGGGGTCAAGTTAGAAAACGGCAGCACCAGGACGGCCCATAAGGCTGCCCGCCACTACAAACTCTAAAAGTGTCCACCCGACTCCCGCAGAGGAAAACAGTGAAGAAGGCTGGTAGCTGATCCTCACGTTACCTGGTGAGCACAGCGCCTTGGAGGGGGGCTAGGGATGTCGACTTTAGTCCAGGCGTCCTTTCTGATATGGTAGATATACAGCTCATTGTACAAAAAAGTCTGTAGGAAAGAAGAGGAACGTCGAATGAGATGCTTCCAGGCAGGTGACATTAAGTAGCGAGAATGATCTCCATCATTAGAATTCCCTGGGAAACATGTTTCCTAAAGCATCGTAAATGCCACCAATGCACGGAGGCCAGGCAGCTGGTCCCTGCAATCCTTTGGGATGACAACACAAAGAAAAACAGTTGTCCACCACACCCATTAACTTCTAAGGTGCTGAGAGCCTCTGCTGCGCAGTAAGACCTGCCATCTTCCTCACCCAAGCCTACCTCCTACATGAATGAAAATTCAGAGGGAACGTGAATGAATGAAATCAGACCCTCAAGTTCCCTGCGGACTGGAAGGATGGGGAGCTCATGCTTTGGTAACTGTTTCACATACAACTCTAAAACCTGGGTCTTTCCAGCCCACTCAAAGATAAAACTTAGCTCTACAATTTACCAGTACTCTCTCTATTCAAAACAACTTTCGAAATGTGACTGTGAAACATGAAAACCCACAGTGAGGAAGAACAGCACGTGGGTCAGCCTCCAGCAGGTGCAGGCAGTGACTGAGAGGAGAGCTGAGGCTTGGAGGGAGTCAGGGAAGATGAGGACCCTGCGACACTGATGCCAAGAGTCACTCTGGTCCCCGAATGAGTCCAGGGTGACTTGTCAAGGACAATACCTCACATCAGGACTGATGGCTCAGCAGATGAGATATGATGGAGGGGCGTGAAAGGACTGATGTGTATTTGATATCACTGCTTTAAATTAGTTTTACTTCAAGTAAGACCCATGGAAATTTGGAAAGAAAAGAAAAAATATATACTTTACTTTTTGGCCATTGAAATATTCACCTCCGAAAAGGATTAGTTCATCTTTCTCAGGATGAGCGGAGAGGGAGGCATTTAACCTACAAGAGACATGAGCAGCAGATGAACACAAGTCAAAACACGTGATACCGTCCAGGCCAGTCCCCTGGCATCGGAACACTCTCTCGTTCTATCGCCAGGGACTCGCCCTTTCTAAACTCTTGTAAAAGAAGAGTCTGGACTGACTCTACCTTCTGGCCACTACACTACGCCCAGGTTCACTCTCTCAGGAGAGCCCAGGATCCGGGCTGCCTGACACAGCTTCTGGCTTTAAGAAATCATCAGGCAGGACTGGCCAGTTAGCACAGTTGGTTAGAGCATGGTACTGATAACAGCAAGGTCCAGGATTCCATCCCTATACTGGCCAGCGCCCAAAAAAAAAAAAAAAAAAAAAAAAATCAACAGGTGATAACAAGTCTAGATACTCCTACTTATCAGTCAAATTTTCCAAAACTGTCCTATTTTAAGGGTCTATCCTCCTATATCACAATCAAAACTGTTCTAAAATGTCCATTATTTAAGTATTTCAATATATGTCCCAGATACCTTCCACGTAGAAAATCTAAATACTTCACGCATGACAGCAGAATAGCTACAAGGAAACTGTGAACACTGGAAAACACCCTTCTTCCAAAATCCCCTATACTGGGGTTCCCCACGGTGTGTTCCATAACACTTATCCCAAAAGATGCTTCTCAAAGGAAAAACAGGTTTTAAGGTCAAATAAGTTTGGGAAATGTGAAAAATCTATTTTTCTCCTGGGGATTTATTGTGCACAGAAACATTTTCATAGAGAAAATGAGAAATTTTGCAGAAAAGCAACCACCAGTACTAAAATAGTGCAGCTACTGTGGAAAACAGCTTGATGGTTCCTCAAAAAGCTAAACAGAATTACCATATGACCCAGCAATTCCACTCCTAGGTGTCTACTCAGACACCTGGACAGCGATGTTCATGACAGAACTATTACAAGAGCCAGAAGGTAGAAAGAACCCAAGTGTCCATCAGCAGATGACAGATAAAACAAAACATGGCACATCCACAAAATGGAACACTATTCAGGCACAAGAAGCAACAAGTTGTTATGTGCTACAACATGTAGGAAGCTCGAAAACATACTAAGCTAAAGAAGCCAGTCACAAGGGACAAATATTATATGCTTCAACTGAAATAGCTAGCTGTCTTCTTGGCAGCTGGCCACTACAGGGATTGGGACCCATGACCTTGGTGTCATAAGGCTGCACTCCAACCAACTGGCCATGAAATATCTAGAATAGGCAAATTCACAGCAATAGAAGGTAGACTAGAAGTGACCAGGGGTGGGGGACAGGGAGACGTGGAGTTACTGCTTCATGTGTGATAAAAAATTTTGGAACCAAACAGTGACGACTGCACAGAATTGTGAATGTAAGTAAACCCACTGAACTGTGCAATTAAGAATGGTTAAAATGGCAAATTTTATGTTATATATATCTTACAACAAAAAAAAATTTTTTTAAAAGAATAAACAATGTTTCCCAAATTCTTTCGACCTTTTTTTTTTTTTTGCTGAACACCTATTAATTTTCTGTAGAAAAGCACAGAACACAACTTCGGAGACAATCTGTGCTAGGCCTGAAGCACAAAGGTGTCAGCGATGACCCCAGCTGACTATGAGCCGCCTCACTGGGCACACAGAGCACACACGCAGCGGTGCGAGCACCAGCACAGCCGAGGGTCCTGTTCCCATTCCCCAGTTAAGTCACCCGAGCCAGTACTCAGGGATCCACAGACTTACTGTAGTCACCATTCATGGGTTTGCCTGACAAAGTAACCGGGAGGGAGGAGGTTAGAAGCTGCTGTCTCAACCTCCACAACTGCTCCCTTCTAGCAGGAAGCACTCCCCACTGACACAGGAAGATGCAAGTGTTTACAATTATGTTCTAACATTAAACCTGACTCTGGGGCAACGCCACTTTAGAAAAAGTCCTAAATTACCATCCCTCCTCACCACCCCCCCAAAAAAACCCCACAATCAAAGTGGCTTTCCTCAGAAGTGCTGGCACCTACGCAGACTTAAAGATCTCAAGCACTTATCTGCTTCGACAATTCAAATGAAAGGTATATCTACCATGTGTAATTTGGCCCCGAAGATGACATGCCCACTATAGGGAAAAATAAGACTCACTTCCTAACGGAATTTATTAAGGAAGGACAGGAAAGACATCAATCCTTGGGAGCTGCTGCGAGCCGCCTCTTTCTGGCAGGGGCTGTCACTGCCCTCCCCAACCTCTGAGCAGGTAAGACATGCAAGTTTTATCTCATTCTGAGGAAAACAAGATAAAACCATTTCTCGACTACACAAAATAGGCCCAGATGCCTGTGGAGTTTATGCCTTTTCCCCCTCTCTGAATGATACAGCATCTTTTATTAGGAAAACTGGACCTTGCCTAGGTTCCTAATGATGCATTCAGTGTCCTTCCTCGCTGTGAGTTGCACATGTAAGAATACAGAGTCCTAACTCAAATCATAAAACAATTAGAGACCCTGGGAGGATGAGAACTGGTGCAGAGGAGGAAGTCAGAAGACCAAAGTCTACTCACTGCAGCTCACATAATTTATCAATTCATTGAAAATGGCTTATACACAATTTATGTCTAATAACCAAACTTCACATGAGGACCTAAAAGCATTACAAACAATCATACCAAAAAGCTATGGTGATTTTCAGTTTTCCACCTGTGATATGTGGTTTTAAAATACCTTAAGAACTAGGGCCGGCCCGTGGCTCACTTGGGAGAGTGCGGTGCTGATAACACCAAGGCCACGGGTTCGGATTCCATATAGGGATGGCCGGTTTGCTCACTGGGTGAGCGTGGTGCTGACAACACCAAGTCAAGGGTTAAGATCCCCTTACCGGTCATCTTTTAAAAAAAAAAAAAAAAAATTAATAAAATACCTTAAGAACTAAAGAAAAGCTCATTGGGGCAACACATTTATCCACAAAGTGTCATAGTTTGGAGCTTTCAAACCTGTCAGCATTTCCCCCGTGATCAGCTGTGCTGTGAGACCAATTACCACATTTCTACACAATAAAGCTTGAATAGCCTCACCCCCATTCTTCAGTAGAAAGTGATCCGGAACAGGTTCTAATGACGAAAATGTCCCAAGTGCCTAGTCATTCATGAAAACATGGTGCCGATTTAAAGCAGTTTTCCAACTTACAGAATAAAAAGAAATGGTCAGAAACTGTAGTACAAAGACTCTTTGCTCACTCACCTTGGTGAAGGTGGGAGGCATGGGGTTTCCACGACCTGAGTCTTTCTGGCATCAAGCGTCTGGAAATGGGCAATGAGGGCTTCCAGGTCTTCCTATGGGAGACAACCAGCCACATCTGAGATGCTTTTCTAGAACCTGTCAGGGAGCCAAAAGCTGGTCCGGGGCTAGCCCGTGGCTCACTTGGGAGATTGTGGTGCTGATAACACCAAGGCCACAGGTTCGGATCCCTATATAGGGATGGCCGGTTAGCCCACTTGGGAGAGCGTGGTGCTGACAACACCAAGTCAAGGGTTAAGATCCCCTTACCGGTCATCTTCTAAAAAAACAAACAAAAAGCCTAGCCTGCTTTCCTCCCCCGCTGATCTCATCTGACTGGGTCCGATTATATGGTGAATCATAACATCACTCCACCCATTTGAAATACACAGAACTTGATACATACAAAAACACCCAGGGCCTGACCTCAGAGGCAGTTTTCCTAGAAGTGTGGATGTCTGCACTACCAAGTACTGCGTTATTCCAACACCTCACTCCCTCCAACCCCCACGAGGACCTTGCACTTAAACAAGCCCACCCTGACTGCACTGCTAACACCTTCAACAAACTCTCCTAAACCCAGGCCCATGCCATCCCACCAGCCTGCCTTACTGTCGGCATAGCACTATTTGATGTTTCTCTTGCTTATTTTTCTTTCCGCCATGCCACACACACTCACACACAAGGTAATAAAATACTAGTTCCATGACCCATTTCTGGTTAGAACAGCATCGGCACTGCAGGGACGCAGCAAACACCGGCTGCAGTCACTCTGTGTAAGGCCTCTGTTTTCACGACTGTGGAAGCAGACTTGGAAGTGAAGGTGCTGATTTACCGGCACAGCTAGGCAGCACTGGAACCAGTCTTCCCACCCCCATCCAGTGCCATTTCCCCACATTTACTAGGAACTCCTCACCTCCGACGAGTGGCCTGCCTGTCATCTGGAAAGTTCCCTCCTAGCCCTAATCTCTTCTCTGAACCATCACTCCCCTCACCTTGCTCAAGCTGAGTCCCGAGGTCTGCCCCTCTTCCTTCCCGCTCCTCCTCCCTCTCTTGCTTTCTCTCACCATGTGATCTCCTTGCACCTGCCGGCTGCCTGCCACTTCCCACCAAGAGTAGAAGCAGCCTGAGGCCTGCACCAGATGCAGCTGTCCCAGAATCGAGAGCCAGATAAATCTCTGTTCTTTATAAATTACCCAGTCTCAGGTATTCTATTATAGCAACACAAAACAGACTAATACAGGTAGGTTACACATTCTTCCTACATTTCCAGATCATGTTCCCTCCCTTGCCCACTTTTCCAGACTCATCTTCCATCCCACCCTTCACTCTCCAAAGGTACACTGGCTTCCTCGCAGTTCCTTTAATTAAGACACCAGGTTCTCTTGGCCTGAACAGCCTCTAAGCCCCTTTCCTGCATTTCCTCCTGCTCGCCCTTCAGTCTCACGGTGAAGGTCAATCCTCTAGGTTAGGGCCTCACAGCAGGGTCCACTCCTCATTATTTTTAAATAATGTTATTTTTAAGACACAAAAAAAGGTATAAAGGGCCAGCCCGGTGGCGCACTGGAGAGTGCGCAGCTTGGGAGCGCAGCAGCGCTCCCGCTGACGGTTCGGATCCCATGTGGAGACCGGTTCCCACTCACTGGCTGAGCGCGGTGCAGGCGCAACACTGAGCGTTGCAATCCCGTTGCCGGTCCCCGGTACGGGCACGACACCGAGGGTTGCGATCCCGTTACCAGTCAGTAAAAAAGACAAAAAAGAAAAAAAAAAGGTATAAAAACTAATCCAAGACACTCCCTTGTACCATCCCCCAACCTAAGCCACAAAGCATCACTAACAAAGTAGGCACTCCATGTGTACAACACACTCCAGACATCCCCTGAATGACCACTATCTGGAACCTGGTGCTTATTATTCTGTATATTTTTAATATACATGTGTATCCCTAAACAATATATAGTATTATTTACATTTTTAAATTTCATTGAATGGTATCTGATATAGTTTGGCTATGTCTGTCCCCCCAAAGCTCATGTTGAAATGTGATCCTCAATGTGGCAGTGTTGGGAGGTGTTTGGGTCATGGGGGCGGAAGCATCATGAGCAGATTAATGGTCTCCCTTGGGAGTGTGGCTCAGTGAGCTCTCACAGGTGGGGATTAGTTCCCAGAAGAGCTGATTGTTAAAGGAGCCTGGCACCTCCCCCCTCTTCCCTTTCTCCCTTCCTCCCGCCACATGATCTCCTGACACCCACAGGCTGCCCTGCTGCCTTTCACCATGAGGGAAATAGCCTCAGGCCCATGCCAGATGCAGCTCCCCAGAATCACGAGCCAAACAAACCTCTTTTCTTTACAAATTATTGAGTCTCAGGTATTGTGTTATAGCAACACAAAAACGGACTAATACAGTATCATAATGTATGTTCTCTTGCAACATGCTTTGCTGAACATGGTGAGTAAACAGTTTGATATGATAAATCCATTCATTTCCACTATGACATAATTACGAGTCACAGCTTATCCATCCCCCTGCTGACGAACATCTGGGTTAATTCCAATATTTTGTTTTGACAAACACTACTACGGCCATTCTTGTACCTGTCTCTTTGTGTAGACAGGGAACGTTTTTCCAAGAGAAATCTTTAGGTGTGTAACTGCTAGGGTGTCGCTTCCACTTTCCTAGACATTGACAAATTAGGATCCAAAGTGGCTCTACCAACTTATATCCTCTAATGCAAAACACACTGCATTAGGTACTCAAGGCCCGGGTGAGGAAGGGACTGTTGGAGTCACAATTGGGTCAGAGGCCCTGGCTCCTGATCCTCAATGGCTCCCCTCAGAGGCAGAAGGCAAGAGGAGGAGTGGGCTGGAATGAGGGGCACCAGGTCTGACAGGGAGAGCTGCTGTATCAGTCCCGATGCACAAGTGGCACTGCTGCCCACCAGGCTAAGGCCATCCCCATGTACTTAACCCAGTCACACAAGGATAGGGAGCTTCCAGCTGTCTCTTGTTGGGAGCAGGCTTTGTCAGTATTTTCCAGACACGCATGGCAAAATCGAGGCCCAGCTGAAGGAGGTGATGCCATCATTCACTAGGAGCGCAAACTCAGGTGTCAGGTGACTGGGTTTCACTCCCACCTCATCCACTTCTTGTCAGTTAATCCAGTAGCCGCTCCATGTGCCTTGTGTGTTGAGCAAATTACTCAAGACTACACTAACATCTGCAAGCTAGGAAAGCTGGGCCCCAATACTGTAAGAGAGCACTTCTTAAGCTGGGCTGAGCCTCGTGATCATTGCGCTGGGGAACAGGGAGTGGGTGGGGTCTGGGTGGCACAGGTGGCCTAGTCAGTGACTACCTATCCAAGGTGACAACAAACTGAAAGACGAAAACAATTCAGTCACGAGGAGTGTGGCTGGGGTGAAGGAAAGGACCACAGCAGAAAGAACTTGGTATATCTAAGACACTCAAATGAAGGTGGTTTTGCTGGAGTGGAGTAAGCTGGGGAAAGCTGGAGAGACAGGCAAGGCTAGGACAGACAGAGTGAAGGTGTCAACCAACTGATCTGATTCATAGGATATCACTCCCATGAAGAGGCTGTGTTACATGACACATCTGACTTTAAGAAAGGGAGATTATCCTCTGCAGGCCTGGACTAATCAGATGACCAGTTATCTTAATGGTGTGTTGTGAGAATTAATTAAGATAACACTTAAAGTCCCAGGTCTGATAGGCTCTCTCTTCCGGGAAGTTACCGTTATGATCACTTAAGAAGTGGGCACTGCAGGGAGATGTGGAGATGAGTAAAGATGACAGTTTTGTTAGCCACCAAGTGCTTACTCTGTGCCCAGCACTGTTCTAAAAACGCCACACAGATAAACTGACTTCCTGTGCCACAGCCCTGACCAGGCAGGGCATGCTCCTCTGTGGCCTTCCAGCTGGGTTTAAACCCAGACTCCTGGCTGCAGAGCCTGTGCACTTACTTAGTCAAGAGCCTTAGAATGCTAGAGCCTAAAGAGAGTGCAAGGGAAAAGTCCAACCCGATTTATCTGACGGATGAGAAAATGGAGAGATGAATGCCCCAGGAAGAAAAGGGGCAAAGGAATGTGGTCAAGAGCTCTGGACTGCGAGTCAGGTCAAATCCCAGTCCCATACCACTTTATGGCTGCGTGACCCTGAGCTGTGTAACCTGTTAGTCTGACATCCTATCAAACGGGGACGCCAGTGCTACCTAACTCACTTGGTTGTGAGGACTAGAGCCCAGAAAGCACAGCTCCTGGCACACAGCGAACACTCAACAAACACGGGCTACTGTGAGTGCCCAGGTTAGGGAGCCCACAGGCAGTCGTCGACAGAAAACAGCAAACTCAACCTCAAGTTCAGCACTGATGCACCTGCAGATCCTGGGAAGAGGGAAGGAAGGAATGGAGGAAAAGGGGGCAGGAGGGAGGGCAGGGAAGGAAATACGATGTGGTGGTCATCATGAACTATTACGGAATTCCATACAGTTCCAGTGGCTTCTTCACCTACTTAATTACACTTGATGCTCGCTTTTCAGGGTTGCTGCGAAGATTACTTACCCTCTTTTGAAAGATGAGAAGAGTGAGGCTCAGAAACTCCCAGACTCACCCGCAGGTCCCTTACACTAACTCCCAGCCTCTTCCACTACTCTCGCTCTAATGGGAAGGGAGGAAGCACACAAGACACGCTCGGAGACGCCTGTGACACCACACGAAGAAAAGCAAGCAGGTGAAGAGGGGCAGCTCCCTGGCTCCTGGAGGGCGGTGGGGCCCGGGCACATGTGGAGGCTAGGGAGGGTGCGGGCCCGTGCCGGAGGTCCCTACGGCTTCAGCCCCCCGCTCCCGGCGCTCACGGGGCCCCGCTCACCTCCTCTTTCCGCGAGCGCTTGGACACCTTCTTCTCCATCTTGGCGGCCGTCTTCTCCGCACCGCGGCCCTTCTCCTTCTTGCCCTTCTTGCCCATCGCGCTGGGTGAGAAGCGGCGCTGGGACACCGACCAGCCGGCAGCACGCACCCGGAAACAGGTGCTCGCGGGACAAGGCTGGCGCGCGTAAAGTGCGTCACTTCCGGCCCGCCCCGAGCCGCTTCCGGGCGGCTGCGGGTGCTGCGCTCGTGGTGGTCCTGGAGCTGGGTCTTGGGACGCGGAATCAGGGCCTCGAGCTCTGGGTAATGTCCGAGGAAACGCCTCCGGGCCACGGCCGCCCCCCTCACGCCGGGGCCCTCCCACCCGGGGCGGCCTGCGCTCCCTGCCTGCCCGCGTGGGCTCGTGGCTTGCCCCGCGTGGAGTTTCCTGCCTCCGCCCCGGTCCGGCGGATGCTGCGGCCTCGCGGCCCCACACTTCACACACTTGCGGGGATTTGCAGGCCCTGAATGAAGACAGTGCCCTCTCCCATCCCATATGAAATGCCAGATACTGTAGGTAGCAAGGGTTCTCGCCATTCTGTCTTCTGCCTGACTCCCCGCAAGTGTAGATAGAGGACATTTCCCTCCTCGATGGCTGCTGGGGCTGGTGATGTCACCTCCGAGGGTACTCAGTTGATCAGGCCTGACTGGCGGAGGTGGGTGAAATCTAACGGCCTAAGAAATTGTATTCCAGGGTTTGAGTGAAATAATGCAGTAAGTGGCAAAAACCATCTGTAGAACATGGAGGGCCGTGGTTTGACAGGTAGAGTGAAAATGCTAATCATTACTTAGAAGATGTCATCTCTGGGCTTGTAATCAAGCAAATAGGGCAAATTAAGGACAAGAACAAGCAAAGATTTGGAAAGGGAAGAACATAAATCAGTAAATGATCCAGTTTCTTACTTTGTCGGTGAACTGCTAAAGGACTTAGCCTTCAAGGAATTACCTTGGATCCAATCAATTGCCAATCACTGAGCAGCCAAGGAGGAATGATTTTCCAACCAAGTCCAGGTCTTGTCCATAGATCCAGTTCTTTATGAGGAAGAATAAAATGTGGGGAAACAATGGGAAGAAAAGGTAGAACTGGATCAAGGCTCCCACAGTCTCCAGCATTGCTTGTAGGAGAACATGTGTGATGGTAGAAAAAAAGAACCAATTAGAAGCAGATCAGAAACAAGCTGGAGAACTTCACAGAAACTCGGGCTAAGATCGTCTTCTATGATGAGCTACAAAAGGCTGAATCCTCACTATTGCCCTGGGGAGATGGTTATGTTCCCTTTAGTGTGCTGTGGCTTTGAGAACATACCTAATCCTCTCATACTTTTCTGAGAATACTGGGTAACCCTGAGGCAATGCACTTGAAGCAAATAGCCCTTCAATCACTGCACATCTGTCTGCAATACATCACAGTGCTCCCCACTTAAGGGCGGTAAGAGGGGGAGTGTATTCCCTATTGAAGATTTAGAAGGATCTGGTAAATGCAGGGCTTAATACTTTTATTATCCGAGAGAATCTTGAAGCTAAATTGAAAGGCTCTTGGATTATACCTATCATGGTGATTTATGTGAGGTTGAAATTCTCATTACTGAGAAGGAAAGGGAATAGGACATCTGAAATGAGATCAGAATCCTGAAATAGTGAAAAGACTAAGTACAGTGTCCTATTTTAGTGGAATTCACATTTTTAAAACTTTAATGAATTATCTTAAATCTAATACCTCACTTTTACAGCATATCTTTTGTGTGATCAGGCGCCCTCTGCTGCCTTCAAGTTGAAGGCAGAAGAGAAAAAAAAATATTAATAATAGACTAAATTGAAGGAAAATATGCTGACATCTAATTACCCTCACCCCAAATAATCGATGGGATTGGAAGGTTCTCCCAAATGTGATTAGAGGAGGCAGTTCTTTGCACATTTCCTATCTGAAAAGTGAGAAACCAACTACAGAGAATTATTGGAAGCCTACCAACTACAGAGAATTATTGGAAGAATCAAATGAAATAATAATAAAGCAGAAAAATAAAAAGCAAAATACAGATTTTAGAGATTCTATGTGCTATGAGGTGAGCTCATAATTTTGAACTGGCTGACGATTATTTCATTTGACAACATTAATTGAATACTGCAATGTGTGGAACATTGTACTAGGCCATATGAGGTTTACCAAACAGGAGATTCAACCACCAGCCTCAAGTAGGTTTTATTCTGCTGAGGCAGACAACATGTGAAGACGTTCCTCAAGTGCTTTGTGAAATGAAACAAGGAGGAAGAAAGGGAGGAAAGGGGAAAGAGGGAAGAAGGGAGAAGGGAGAAAGTAAAATCAAAATCATTGTTTTATATATTTTATCCAGTTTTCTAGTTGTCTAAGGGGAAAGGGTAAATTTAGTATCATTGCTCCATAGTGGCTGAAGGCAAAATTCTCTTCTCTCTGGGGTACTATTTAATTTCTAAATATTTGTGGGTCATTTTATTATATTTTTATTATTTATAATTTAATTCTATTGCGGTCAGAGAGCACTATCTGCATGATTTCAGTCCCCTTAAATTTACTGAGACTTGGTTTACAGCCCAGCATGTGGTCTGTATGAGAGAATGTTCTATGTGTTCTTGGAGTAAATATGATTCTGCAGTTGTTGGGGTGCATGGAGTTCTGTAATTGTCAATCAGGTCCAGTCAGTGAATAGTGTTGTTATATATCCTTACTGAATTTTTTTTCTACTTACTTGAATCAGTTCCAGGGAGAGGATTATTATGCTTTCCAACTATATAGATTTATCTATTTATTATCTGTATACAATAAGCTGCATATATTTAAAGTGTACACACGTGGCTGGGCCAGTTCAGGTGGATCTGGGGTCAGGAGTGACCTACAGTTGGCCCCTACCCTCTGAGAAGGGCCACCCAATCTGTAGGGGGCTCGAGGGATGAGAAGAAAAGAACGTGGAATTTGTCAGCCTTGAAGCCCCAAATTGGAAACCTGTGTGTGCCTAGGTAATGGGTCATCTTTTCAATGGAGATTTTCAAATATCTTGGCATAGAGCTAAACGTGGTGTAATATTCTTCTAATTAAAACAATAAATAAATAGGGTCGGCCCGTGGCTCACTCGGGAGAGTGCGGTGCTGATAACACCAAGGCCCCGGGTTTGGATCCCATATAGGGATGGCCGGTTAGCTCGCTGGCTAAGCGTGGTGCTGACAACACCAAGTCAAGGGTTAAGATCCCCTTACCGTCATCTTTAAAAAAAAAAAAAATTAATAAATAAATAAAGTGTAGAATTTAATACGTGTTGATATCTGTATACACCCATGAAACCATCACCAAAATCACAAAAATGAACATCTCTCTCAGCCCCAAAGTTTCCTCATTCCCCTCTGTAATCTTTTCCCCCATCCCTGAGCAATCACTATATGTTTTCTGGAACCACTGGTTAGTTTGCATTTCCTAGGATTTTACAAAATGGAATCATACAGTGTGTATTCGTTTGTGGGGGATGGGGAGAACTCAAGCATCTGTCACTGAACCTGATTCTTTTGAGGTTCATCCATGACTGTTGCTGTTGCGTGAGTCCACCATTTGTCCCTTTCTGTTGCTGGGCAGTATTCCATTGTGTGTATGCACCATAACTTGTTTATCGGTGCTCCTGTCGATGCACAATTTGGATTGCTTCCAGTTGGAGGCTGTTACAAAAAACTGCTGTGAACATTCATGTGCAAATCTTTGTATGGACATATGCTTTCACTCCTGTTGGGTGAATACCTAGGAGAACGGCCAGGTATTGTGCTGAGTGCATGTCTGACTTTTTATGAATCTGCCACACTGTTTTCCAGAGTGGTTATGCATTCCCCACAGCAGGGCAGGAAGTGCCAGTGGCTCCACCTTCTCATCCATGTTTGGTGTGGTTGGACTTTTTAATTTTAGATATTCTTTTTCTTTTTTTTTCTTGGCGGCTGGCCAGTGCAGGGATCAAACCCTGGGCCTTGGTGTTATCAGCACCACGCTCTACCCAACTGAGATAACCTGCCAGCCCCTAATTTTAGATATTCTAATAGGTACATAATTGTCTCTCATTGTGCTGTAAATTTGCATTTCCTAATGGCTAATCATACTGAGCATCTCCTTTTCTGTTCATCTGCCGTCTGGATATCTTCTTTGGTAAAATGCTGGCTCAGATATTTGGGCCATTGTTTATTGAGTTCTTTGGGGTTTTTTTAACTGAGTTTTGAGAGTTCTTGAGATATTTTGAATTCAACACCATCATACATGTGATTTACAAATATTTTCTCCCAGTCTGTGGCTTGAATTTTCATGCTCTTAAGAGTGTCTGTCAAAGATCAAAAGTTCTTAATTTTGATAAAGTCCAATCTGTTAATTGTTTTCCTTATAGGTCGTGCTTTTGGTGTCACATACAAAAAAAAATGTGCCTAGCATAGGGTCATGAGATTTTCTTTCTTTTTTTTTTAATTGTGTAGCTTTATTCCTTTAGAGTACATAGTCAAAATATTCTCTTTTAAATTTTTATTTTTTTCTGAGTAATACTTCATTTTTATAGCAGTTTTAGGTTAACAGAAAAATTTTGCAGAAATTACAGATAGTTCCCATACCCCCCCACCCAAACAGCCTATTTCCCAAATAGGCCCAGGGTACTGAGAATTTCTCCTTCGTTTTCTTATAAAAGTTTTTAGTTGGTTATTTTATAAATCTGTGATCCATTTGGAGTTAGTTTTTGTTTGGGGTACAAGGTATGGATCAATAAGAAATTTTTTGGCATGTGACATTTAATTGTTCCACCACCATTTGTTGAGGAGATTATACTTTCTCCAGTGAATTGCCTTTGTCAAAAATCAATTGACCATCTACATGTGAGGCTATGTTTGAACTGTTTACTCAGTTCCATTGATCAATTTTCCATGTTGATGGCAGCACCACACTGTCTTGATCACTGTAGCTTTAAAATAACTCTTCAAATCAGATTGTGTCACCTCCAACCTTGTTCTTCTGTTTCAAAGTTGTTTTTAACTGTACTCGGTCCTTTCCATTTCCTTATGAATTTTAGAATCAGCTTGTCAATTTCTACAAACACAACCT